GAGCTAGTGGCGCTGACAATGGGCACAGCGGCAGTCGGGGCGGTGACGAAGCTGATAGCAATAATAATGTCTACGTCACTGCCGCCGAGCACACGGCGGTGGTGTTTGTGCACACAGGTGGTTTATTTTGGTTGCATGCCCTTCCACTCTGTAATTTACTACGCAAGTAATAAAACAATATCCGACGAAGTAAACAGAAATTAAGCTGAAATTTTAACAAATTTCGGTAGTTACAGTTGGTAGCAGGTGAAAATACAGCCAACTGTGTGTGATGATAAAAAGTGCTTGAAAAAGCGCACAACCCTCATTACAATTACGTACATGGAGTAGGACTCTATGTCGAGGTGTAGGTACACATACAAGTATGTAAGTTTGGATGTAGCAGCTGCGAAACTCGCAAAGTGGTCGCTGGTGCACGGTTCAAGAAAATGCTTTCTAAATATTGGATATTTGAAAAGCTGCAGTTCATCCGAAGAATAAGAATCGGAAACTCCTTTCGCTTACTTCCTTCCTCGAGCAGTATTTATGAATCAGCACCCGATACATATATGCATAGATATACACACGTGTTGTCTTTCTTTTTTGTCAGCTATCCTTTTCCATGAACGCAAACGAACACACAAAGGCACGTGTGAAAAATATATTGTTTTGTAATGATCGTAAGTGTGTGCACCAGTGTTTGCGGTTACTGTTGGCACTTGCTGACAGCAGCTGCCAACAGTAACGTCAACGCATCATCACCACGAAATTTCACACTCGTATACCCACACACACGCCACAGACAACACAACACGTATGCGCAGCCGCAGCCGACTTACGTACACGCCTGTATTTATTCATAAACATGTTACGTTTAACATATACAAACCACAAACAGCAGCATTAAATATTAATATTATGTGATTGCCAAATGAAAATGAGCAAGTTGCGGCAACAATAAATAATTCGGATCGAGAGATTAAAAACACAAACAGAAACACATATTAGAATTGTTTTGAAAGATTGCCGCCGGGCTATCTATAGTTCCCCGTTTAATAAAGACAAGAATACATATCAAGTTACCTCCGTCAGTTGCAACTCCTATCTTCCATGCATCGCAAGTTGTCCAATACAAATAAGAAAGCTACTCAAGAACTTTTTTATTGCTATACTAACTGCTGCATCCACTCTTCCGATTTAAAAACGTTTTCATGTGAGTAGCGTTTAAGTGCTTAAAAATACTTTGTTTGTTTGATACCCTTGATTGGAGGTAATCAAACTGAAGTCTATAATAGACTCTTTTCACTAAACCAAACTGTTCTTTGTATATTGAATTTCCTTTCTGAGGAAACATAAAAGTTTCGATTTCCGATTTACAAAATAATACAACTGTAAGTTAAATTCTTAAAAGAAATAGGCCAAAAAAATCTGACAAATAAACAGACATTTTTTTTGCCGAGCCTGAAAAAAGCGTTTCGAGAAAAACGAGTTTAAAATGTAAAAAGTTCTTACAAATACACTCATATCTCCGAAACTATTTGGTGGATAAATTTCAAATTTTCCGCTTTAAGAAATTGAGCGGAATATTTTAAGTTAATAAAAAGAAAGTAGAGGTTTTTATACACACTAAAAAACGGAGAAAACCCCATTTTTGAAATTGATTTCAAGACTATATAGATTTGTTAATGTAAATTGAAATAGTTCTTTTCATATAGTACAATGGAGCTTGGTGAAGGCTGGAAAAGAGTACTCACATTGAGATCCTGAATTTTGAATCGTAAAAAGACTTTTGAAGAACTAGAGAAATATGGCCATTAATAGACCGTGTTACTGAGCGACATTCCATGGTTCCTCCATTACTCGTATAACTGCTTTGATGGAATCATCAAAAGAATTCTTCAAGAAATCAGATGTCATCTAACGGTAGCTCAATAAAAAACAGATATTGGATGTAGTGAACTTCAAAAGTAATTAACCATCTCTTAAAGTCAATGAAATTGAATACCATTTGTGCTACAAACTCCGAATTTCCGCATTTTTTATATGAGAGCTAGTCACACTCCAGCGTTCAGTCGGAAGTGCAGCTACACCAGAAGTAGCTTGGTACACAATAAAGCCGACGCCAACAACAAAAAAATTGAAATCTTGTCGACATCTTTGTCATTGTCATCGGTCTTGCGGGCAGCGAAGACTATGTGCCTCCGTGAGTTGACGACAGTTGGTTGCACTATTGACAATGAAAACAACCAACAACGAACAGCCAACAGGCCAGTCAACCAGCGAGCAACAAAAACAAAATATAACTACCAATAAAAACAACATTGCGTATGAAATGTTTTAAATAATCGGTAACAACAACATAAGCATATGGTGGCGATGTGTTTACCAGTGCGTGCGTGTGTGTGCGGGTCTGCTTGGTGATGTTTGTTTTAGCGTTGCATTGTTGTTGCTTCTGCACACACTAATTTAATTTTAATTATCTACGATTAGTGTGCACTTTTCGGCTGCCATTCGACGATCTCATCAGTCAGCTTTTGACGCTCGCGACATTCGCCGCTTTGTCTGCATTCTACACACACAAGCACACGCACATGATACTTGGTGTAGAGCTCATTACATGCTTATGTGCGGACGCTTGTACATTTGTGGGTATGTAACAGCTACTCGTTGTCACATTCTCTTCACGCGATAAGCATTTGACTTTTCTTCTGTCACCCTTATTTACAAGTCTCGTTTATTCTAGTCATATCTTCCAAATGAATTTTTATTATATCAATTTCTTATGTGTGTGTAAATATATTCGGTAAGAAAATTTATAAATTTTGCAGTTGCCTTCATGTTACAACTTTAAAACGCTTCTCAATCAATGCGAGTGGAATCGAAGCTGGATTTACCTCTTGAGATCTAACGAATACAAATAATTTCGCCAATTTTCGAGAATGATTTCGGTCAAGTGATCACCGCAGCTGGCTGGAATAAACTCGATGATTTCCCTCCAAACACTTTTTGTTTAGAAAAAGATGCCCGGACACCTTAATAAACTATTCTCCATTACCTTACTTCTGACAATATTCTTTAATGAAGCCACATCTCTACGGTTGATAGATTTCTAGAGTTTTCTAAGGCTAGTAATTTCCCAATATTGTTCCCCTAACATCGCTAATGTTTTGGGAATAACTTAGTAACGTAACGGTAATATTTTATATACATGTGTATATATGTACATGCATATATGTATATATTCGTCTTCCTTCGTAATGGCTCGCGCGATGACCATGACTATAAGCAGCAATAGCAACAGAAGGTGCATCGTCGCCTTGCACGAATACAGTGCCCCTTGCCGAAGCAACGGAAGCGCCTGCATTCTGTCGAAACACACACAGAAGCGATAAAGTGATTAACTTGTGTGGCGTTAGCATTGCATTTATAAGTGTTTTGGTTGTAAAGTGTAAACACAACATGTTGCATGCTGGATGTTGCGGAGCCAGCATGTTGCGAGTGCGCCTGCAGAACGTGTACAGACGAGAGAACATAAAAACGGATTATGTTACCAGAGAATGTTAATGAATAGAGAAGGCGCAAATGTTAGCTGTGCTAAAATGTAAACTATTAAAAGGGAACATCGAAAATGCGCAAATTCGAAAGTTCAATTACACCACGTCAAAAAGGTACCATCCCCTCATGATAATCGAACTCAACAAACTACACCACTTTAACAAGGAACCAAGCAAATTTTCACCACCTATTAAAGGAACAGCTAATATATGTATGCACAGAAGTAATAAATTTTGAAGAACATTCATATAATGAGGCAAAAAGTAAATTCAACAAAAAAGGTTTATAAAATTTAAAAAAGAAATAAAACAACATCTGTGATAGGATTTGAACTCAGGCAATATATCAATTTGTATGTGAATATTCACGAAATTGCCTTCCCTCCAATCGCATGTCTAAATATATTTGCATATATGTACACAGATCTACATATGTATGTATGTATGTCCCTCAATATTTTTTTCAAGGTTTTGGGGAGGGAGGGCCCCTGATCCCTCCTTGCTTCTCGCAAAAAGTGAAGAAAAAGTCTTTGTGCGGGGCAAGAAGAAGCAAGCATCAGCGTACGTGTATTTAAGAATGTATGTGTGATTGTCACGCTTGTGTAAATACGCATAAATAAGGGAATATGCAATAAACCTAAACATATGAACATATTTTCTTGAATAATTTGAGTTATCTCAGGAAGTAAAATATTCTATTAAAGTAATTGAATTGAGATTAGCTAAAATAAATTAAAAAAAAAACACAAAAATGTGTTGAAGAATTTATCTATTAATTACTTATTTTATTTTAATTCTGGGGCTGTAACCATTTATCATTTTATACAATTCGAAGGATTAATTTATATTACAAAAATTATGATTTTTTTGTAATATGCAAATGTAAAACAGCAAGCGCATAATTCATTTAAGAACATTATTTGTGTCTATTTATAGCCTTTTCCCCGTTTCGATCATTGCGTGGTGAATTTCAAAAGAGTCGAAGTTGTATTTCTCGATGTTCCCTCTTTTGAAAAGCTCAAATTAGTACTTTTTAACATTTGCGCCTTCTCTATTTATTAAAATTCTATGATAGAGTGGAGTAGTTCGTTGCGTAAATTCATAGGATGGTGAAATTTTATTTTCGAACTTGCGAATTTCGATGTTCCCTTATAGCAATTAACATTTTAGCACAGCTAACATTTGCGCCTTCTCTATTCATTTACATTCTCTGGCAATATGTCTAATTAGCAGATGATATTTATTAACATTTTATACGTAGGTACATTTGTATTTCGCGAGCGAGCATCAAACATGCTCGACGGCGCGTGCGTTAGCGTACTCTGTAAGCGCATCTGTCAGCGTTCACAGCGCATGGAAAGATATTTAGCATTTTCACAAGAGTTACGAACGCAGCGCTGTTAACAGCCGAGTGCGAGCCTCCGAACGCAGACGGCAATGCGACGGATGCGAATAAGCAGCTGGTTTAGTGATAGTTTAATAATCGTTGAGTTCACATCTAATGTCGGAAATCGCAGTTCTCAGTTCCGCATCTTTCTTTTGATAAACTTTATTGAGGTTGTTTGAAATTAATATCCATAGCTCTGTATGTAAGCGTGTGGCCGTAGTGCATTCAAACATTTCAGTGCTCAATGTCGTCATCACATATTTAACACCTACACGAATACAAACACAAGTTGACGAGTGAATTCAAAATCACCGGTATTTCAAAAATTTTTCATGATATACCGCAAAAATATTAATATGCGAATGTCGCTGAAAAATCTTAGAAAAAATAAATGTTTCGGTGAAAATAATCATCGGTTGAAAGTGAATCAACAAAAATATTAAATAATAGTGTATTTAGTTCTAAGAAAAACAAAATTTAACAAGGTGAATCATCTTGCATACAAAATCATTTTTTGAATATTTCAAGTGAAATTCGCAAAGAAAGCAATTGGAGAAATGTAGACACCGCAATAAAAACAAACCAAACGCGATTTTCGAAAAGTTGTTGTTTAAAAAAAAATTGTGGCAACCAATAATAAATCATGATATCTTATTGTAAGTTGCTAAGTGATTTTGTTTGTTGTGAAAATCACATATACCGTCGGTTCTGGATTTGTTTTTACTTCTGTTTTTGAATAATTTTTGCACTTATCGACCGTCTACCTCGGACTTGAGCGGAACTTATTACAGGCGAAAGCTCGATTTTGTTCTGTCGTTTTGACCACAGAAAATGCGAAAATTGAAAACGCGTCGCGCTCACAACCGTTGCGATACCTTAGCAACTATACGGCCATTCTCGCAGACCTACGAGCCGTCGTAAATGTTTTACAGTTGTACGCAAAGAATATACAATGGTGAACAAATGTGAAAATCGGCAAAAGAAAATCCATGTATAAAAATAAAAACAAGAATATGTATGTATTTATGAGTGTGTGTATGTGTGGGTATTTTTTATTTTAGCGAGCAAAGAGACGTGAAATTGGGAAATTGTGAACTGTTGCGGCAAAATTGGGGCAGCTCGCTGACGATAGACAGTCGGCAGGCCGCTAAGAGACTGTGTTAACTCAAAAGAAAGTGTGAAAAAAAAATCAAAAAATGCATTTTCAGTGTTTTTGAAAGCTAAGTGAAACAAATAAAGTGTATAAAACATGGACGTGCGTGTATAATCTAGTGTTTTGGGAATAAACTATGCGTTTTTGAAAAAGAAGAGGTTTCAAAGTTTTAATGAAATCACAAATTGCTGTTGTGACTAAAAACCAAATCTCATTTATCGAAAATACAAAAGTGTCTGACTCGTCATAACACGGAATGCTCGAAGAATTAAAATTTTTGGGAGTAGATCTTCAATTATATGGGTTTGGGCAATATTGTTTGCAATCAATCATAAAGTCTATAAAGGATAGAGTTTTCATACAAATTAAACAAATAAATATGGATAGACATTTTTCGGAATCAATTTCTCATAATTGTACGCAACAATTATCGTCTGAACCATCCTTTAACTAGCTTCATACATCTTTACGAAAAAAAAAAATTTAACAACAATGTGATTTGCCGCCGGATTTTAAGCAAAGCACAGTTACGATATTGCGATGACAGTCTGACGAACTTTATCAAATGTTATCCAAATGAAAATGTATACTGACCAATAGCACAAACAACTACATAGTATGAATCGTTTAAATTGGCATAATTCCATAGAGGTATAACAGCACATAAGATAGAACGGGGTATATATTGTATTATACCACTCAAATCAGGTATACTCTCTTTCTTACAGAGAACCTTGTTTTTCTTTTAGAATGCAAATTTTCCGTACGAAGAAGCAACGTTCCAACGTAGAACTTGGAGAATTCCTATTATTATAGTGTTATCAATTAACATATTTTAAAATTTAGGAAGTACAATTGATAAATACTAATTTGAATCTGAAATACGAATTTTGAATTCACAGACATACCTTTTGATCATAAGAATAAGAAAAGCCTACTAGTACTGTTATTAAATGCTCTTTAGCTACCTTAAATTGCGGGTATCCCGATATTCGTTGTATTAATGCGTTCATAAGCCATTAGAAAGTATATATATGTGTATATACATCTCATATACCTATTACCTATATAAATACATAGTTTTATAGAAACTAATATAGAATAAAGAATTCCATAGTTTAAGAATTAGAAGGATGTATGAATTCGCGAACCTATTGAAGTTTCTGGATTATTTATTTAATATATGTCTTTCTGATACAAAAATAGTAAATAACAAAAGATATAAATTAAAATAAACAACAAAAAATATAAATATTACAGTAGATGATTGCGACATACACTTCATATACATATGTATATAAGCTCGACCACCCTCTCCGAATTCATCTTAAGTAATCTGATTTGCTGTAACCAGTACGCATACATATTTGAAAAGTTGCTTTAGTTTTACTAGAAATCCAAACTTTCCATTCAAAACTACTAATTAATCTTTTTAAGAATACTGATTTTTTAAATTGAGTTTGTGAAAATCAAAGTACCGGTTCTCATGCATAATGCACACAAAGTTTCCACCTATATTTCGTTTCTATACCCTGCAAGGGCTATTATAAGTTTGCCATAAAGTTTGTACTATCCGTCTGTCTGCATATACGCGAACTACCGAATATCGAACCACAATAGCATATAGTTACCATACAAACTGGTCGATTAAAACCAAGTTCTTGTAAGGAAACTTATTTATTTGTGAAGGGTATTATAGCTTCGGTGTAACCGAAGTAAGTAAGTGATTAACTTCCGCCACCAATTACAGAAGAAATTAACTGAGGTATTTGTGAGAGAATATGCTATTAATTATGATTGTATAAATTGAATAAAAATTTATCCAAATCCTGTAAATATTTACCTGCCAAACCAAATTACTCCAAATTACTCACCAATTCGCAAAGGAAAACGAGTGTATTTCTGACTTTTCAAATTCGAATTGTGGGTGTGCATGCATCCGAACACGATCAAAAAGTCACACATACCAACAACAACAAAATTTGCATACATACAAACATTCATGAAAGCATTTAAAGGGGGCTAGTGATACGCTCGATAAGGCGAGAGAATGCGTGTGAAATGCTAAAGGCAACGCGATATATTTGTTTGTTTGAATATCGCGCATATACGAGCCACACGTCCAAGTGCCCGTTGTGGCGGCAGCATGAGCTCTAAATATAAGAGCGCTATATACATACATATATAATGTATATGTACATATCTATTTGTATATTAGTATAAGTATAAATGTATCTATATAGCATGTGCATAAATTAACGTATATGTATGTGTGCGAATTTCATTACATTGTGTGTTTGTGTTTATGTAGCTGCGTGGCCTTAAATGTGAGTGCGCGCGATATGTGAGGCTAAATGTACACAATCGAATGTATCAAATATAATATAAACACATTTACATACATAAGTACACACACACAGACATAATTATTCTTAATGCGGCAGGCGAATGCGATGCTCGCGCATGAAAATCTTTTGAATTTTCCTCGACTTGGCGCTCGTCAGCGACAGCGGCAAAGTCACCGCCGCCACCATCGCCACCAACACAGCAACAACAGCCGCTGTTGCCATCAAATGTATATGTGTACATGTGTGTGTGGTCGGCTGCTGTCTGCGGTACTTCACTTCGCTTCACTCAACTCGGCTCTCGTATTCGGTCGAGCGACTCGATCGTTGATCGCTGATCGTTTTACGATCATACTCGCGTATACAATATCTCTGTTGGTTGCTTATTTTTGTTGCTACTGATTTCGTTGTGTATGTTTTTGTTCTTGTTGTTATTATTGTTGGTGCGGCTGCCGCACGCCGTCGATTTTTGTTTTAGTTTCTTTATCAATGTTGATGCTGTTGCTGTTGCGTTTTTGTTATAATTACATTGTCTAAAATTAGAGAACGTGGTGTGTCTGGCATATCGCACATCTCGGCTGCCAAGCGGGTAACTGCAAAATCGAAACGAAAACGAAGAAGGATGAAGAAGAGGCAGCAGCGACATACTCTACTTGTGTTTAATTGCATCTCGTCTCAATAGACGTAAAGGCGGGTCCCCGTCAATGGCAATCTAATAAAATACAGATTGAGATTAATGCTTCAGTTAGTGACCGGCGTTCCGCCTTTTCGTACTTACCGCCCGTATCAAACGAAATTTGTCCAAAGTTATGCCCCTAGTTTCACGGTGGAAATCTGTTGTTCTCTTTTATTTTCATTTGAGCAATGGCAGCACATCCAGCTTTTTAGTTATAAATTTTCATAATGTAAAAGCTGAAAACTAACATCCAATTATTAAAACTAGGCTACCTATTTATAATAGTTGTATTCGATTGTGATTTTGAGTTAGTTTAATAATATTTCAAATATATTTATGTTTATTTTTAATTACTACAAAATATCGAGACTGACAGCCCTGCGTGGTGAGTGTTCATTTATATTGCGCTCTCATAAGATAGGTCGTATCAGCTGATACGGTCTACGGTTTTGCGTCGGTCACTAACTGAAGCATCAGTGCTAGAACGGCTGCAAGCACAGTCTTGTCGTGGCCTAACGGCACCACTACCAACGACAGAAACAACAATATACGCTATGGTGTCCCCTCATCTTCTCACAGTTCGTTAAGCCCATCCTCCAACCAGACAAGTTGTCGTGGTCCGTGGTTTTCATCAATCGTTTCTGCTGTATGAGTCGTTGTCGTCGTCGTCGTCGTGGTATTTACGACGAGAAACCGCTGATGCCGAGGATAAGAAATGGAGTGAAAGCGGCGATAAAACGATGGCGGCGTCAGCAACCTGACTACTCTTTGTATGAATCAGCGTTGAAAATGTAGGAGTCAAACACACATACACATAGCTGCACGCTCATATCCATGTAGGTGTAGGTATAAATGTCGGCTGCGCTTCAGAATCCACTAATTCAAAATTATTGCTTAGATTTTGGCGATTTTAGTCATACAAATCTCTATGTTTTATAGCTCAGAGTTTTCTTTCAGGGAAGCAAACACGCACACACGTTAATGCTTTTCTGCTACCTATCTTATTCGGGTATATTCGTGCCTGAGTATTTTCTGACTAGTCGTCAGCCACCATCCACGAGCCGACTGACTTCGTTTGATAATATTATTAACTGAAAAAAGCACATGCCGGCTAAAATTCGCGAAGTAGTTCAAGCTTCTTTCACAAATCTAACGAAAATGACAACAAAAACAAATTCAAACAAAATATTAGCAGCAGCAATATTTGAATTGAAGTTAAGCGAATTCCGTAGGAAATGCAAAAATTCAAAAATATTATGCACATCCTTCTGTTGATACCTGTTGAGTGGCTAGCAGCTACACTTCGGTTTATGCACACCTGATTTGGTCATGCCGCTGATCTCCTGACTTTGCTGGATTTTATACAAGTGCACTTATATTTTATATGAGGGGAGAAAGAAACAGTAAATTGGAACAAAAATCAGCCTTTGATGAGCTTTTTGCTATTTTGTTGAAAACTCTAGCGCAATTGGTGTGGTTGTTGGTTGAGCTTGTCTCCTTCATTCATTGCGTATACGCCACGTTGAGCGCAGGTCGCTCCATTACTTACCGGTAATTGACTAGGCTGTCTTCTTCACTCGCCATTTCTTAGTTCTGTTATTCTTTCTGTGCTCTCATGTGCATATATACCGTTAGTATCGTAATAGTAGTGTTTATTATTATTTATGTCGAGCGCTTGTTTTTTGTTATTATTGAGTTTTCATGCAGTCAATGGAATGTCTGCCCAGTATTGTCTATAGATGTTTATGTTTAGTATATATCTTATGTATGAAAGTACGTTCTATAGATGTATTTAATTCGCTAAGCGTTAGAGAGCGGTGAATCCAACAAGCCATACCTGTTGTTCAAACAATTGGCAGCATTTGCGTTGCAACCCTGTGCTATTATAATAAACAAATTTTGAACAGTGAAAATGGTAAAAAGTGAAAGAAACTCATAGTAGTAGATTGAAACGCATTATAAACGAAATATAAAATAACAAAAAAGGAACGAAAAATAGTTTACGTGATATCTAAGGTTGGAAAGAGGAAAGGGAGGGGCGTAGTTGAAATTTTAATTGTTGAAACAGTTTAGCTCGATTTCCGGCTAAACTAAAAGCCCTTTAGAAAAATATTATATTATATTATATGACTAAGTAGTAATAGTAATAAAAAGAGCTACAATTTTCATATTAACACATTTTTCACATAAGTTCAAAATTTATCAGAAAAATCCAAATACCCACGGTTTTTATCTTGTACAATAACATTTCCTTTACGAAGCCAAAACAGGCTGTATTTTTTTATTTAAAATATTAGGGACGAAACTTTTTTTGACATAAAAACGAATAAAGGCTAATTTTCAGTAAAATATTCTTACGTCAAACTATAAGATTTTTTACTGAGTCAGTAGGTTTTAGGTTTATTGAAATCTCTACTTTCTGATGTTACACATTATTGTGGAAAATTTTCTCATAAACTGCAAAAACGACCCTATTTGAAGTTGACGGGAGTAACAACAGAAGTGGTAATAAAAAAAAAATTAAATATATAATATAAATTAGTTTATCTGTGCAGAGTGTCGTTTGTCATAAATCTGTCTCACGCGAAAATCGTGCCAAGTAGAAGCAGGCAATTAAAATTATTAAAACTATTAAAATTTTAATAAAAACTGTAACAAATTAAATTCTGATATTGTTAATTTAGCAAATTATTTTGAGGTGCGAAAGTGTTTGATGGGAGAAAAACAACTGATAAGCACAGAAACAATTATTTAAAAAAAAACGATCATAAATTTGAAATTAATAAACTTGAATCGAACACAACTAAAACTTATATATTACGTGAATATTAAATCTTAATAAAAATGATTGAAAAATAAATGTATTGAAACATAAAAAAATGTCCATCGGTAAATTAATTTACTTAGTTTCATTAATATTTTTTGGAGTGCTAAAAGCAACACAGTTTAAATATAAAAAAATAGTGCATTTCACAAAATTTGAAAATTTAAATTCGTGAAAACATATTTCCTTTTGGTTTTCTAAGATTTAATGTTTTAATTTTGCAGAAAATCATTTTCATTCGAACAACAAAGATTTTACTTGACATACATATGTATATATGCCAAATACCCAAGGCGATAGTAAAGCAAATACATACGCAAGAAGTGTTTTTGCCATGACAAAATGCAGAACGAAGAATGTGAAAATAAGTGGAAGAGCATTGTGCAAAGAATTTAGGAGAAATTAAAACGCTTCAAAAACTCAAAAACGGAGTTTCATAAATATTAAAAAAGAAAATAAAGTGTTATATAAAGCAGCATTTTTGAAATAGTCGCAACAACGACATAGAACAAGTGACAATGTGGCTTGCGAATCATTCTTTACGACAGCATTTCATGCGAAAACCACAACAACACGGACACACAGCCAAAGCTAAAGGCAGTACAGTGCCCGCCAGGCGGCTTGTTAGCAGTTAAGGCAGCAACAAATTGTTACAACAACAAAACTCGTTCTTCTTCAAAGAGTGAATTAAAAAACAAAATAATAACAAAGCAAACATACTTGATGCCTGCAATTGGAAAAATATTCAAAAGTAAAGCACAGATTGAACTATTGTACTGAGAAAGCATATAAAAAACAATTAAAAAGTTGAAGAGAAAATTATATAACGTGTGTAAGAAAACGACTGAATTAAATCAAACGTCGATTGTCGCTGCCACAAAGTGAAATTCGGTGTATTCTGTGCGTCGCTGTAGAGTTGGTACTAACTCTCCTACGGGCGGACGCCATGTATGCGCGAGTATTGCGCAAATGGAGTCTACAAACGAAACCGCAAGTATCTATGAACATGTGGCGGCTGCTGCTGCTCACTCTGTTGCTGCTCTGTCTGTACTCAACGCCGGTCACATGCCTTACAACCGCCTCCGCCCAACGCCTGCGTGTGAATCGGAGCACCGCGCCAGTGATTGCCATCGGGTCTGTGACTGCCAATGCGGCAGAAGCACTAACGGCACCACCACCAGCAGCACCAGCACAAGCGTCAGCAGCAGTGGAGAGTGGAAGCAGACGAGAAGTCGAATCAGTAGCACAGCCACACAACCCTTCAGCAGCAAAACCAGAAGCCGCCACTGTTGGCGACATCATCGAAGAAAGTTTCTACATAACGGTCGATGGCGCCGACGCAGATAGCCGCAGCTATGGAAGCCGTCTAGTGCAAGCGCTGTGCGTTCATGGTGCATCGGACGCAGCAGGTGTAGATTTAATGAGGCACAGTGGCAGCAACAGCAAGAAGGTCAGCGGCGACAGCAGTAGGATATTAAGCAGTAGTAGTGTAATGAACAGCGGCAACAGCGATAATAGTGGGCGACAGCAACAACAAATGAAACAAGAGCAGCTATATAGAGAAATCGATGGTTTGGATGCAACCGATGGAAATGCAAACAATTTGGCATATGCATTTTATCGACGCTCAGAACCGCAAGCATTCAAGTCACCAAAAGCTTTGCAAACAGCCACGAAGCCATCAGCAACAGTGATGGGGACACTAACGCCGACAACAGTATTCAGCCCCCAATTTAGTGCCCACTACGTGGCGAACGATGAAATTGTTGCCAACGATGGTGATGAGGAGGACGATAATGAGGAGGAAGGAGAGGAGGAGGAAGCTGAGGATGTAGATGATGACGTCGATGGCGATGCCGAAGCGGATGAGCATGCATCGGACGAGGGTGATGCCGACTATGGTCGACAGCAACAAGAAAAAGTTCCAAATAATAAAAATAGTCACATAATTAATTTATTTAAACCATATAAACATAGCAACATTAACAACTTCAACACCAATTACAATCACAACTCCAACTCAAATTTAAACAAACTACATCCACAGCAATTACAACCACACACGAGCAGCGGAACATCACCTGACCAACCAGAACACACAGCGACTGAAATCAGCAGCGACACGCCAGCGTTCGCGACAGGCAAACGAAGCTACAAGGCGAGACGACATGTTCCGTTTACAAATGCACAACAACAACAGCAGCAGCATTCATTACGATTGCATACCGCGCATGTGACAAAGAGCGCTGAGCATTTGTTCACAAGCACACCACTGCCCATCACCGCGTACCCCACCAAGAAGGTGTTCCAGTTGGTGAACGGCAAGAACTTGACACGCATCGTGCATCTCTTGCCACCCACCCACTACCGCTTTGCCGCTTATGAAATACCCCCGGTACTGTCATACCGTGGCGAGTTAACGGAGCAGCAACGACGCGCGCTGCAGCACCAGCACGAGCGACAACTGCAGCAAGATCAAACCGCACGCTCTCGCCGCGACTCCCGCGTCTTTGGCTTGGCGCAGTCAATGAATACTGGATTTTATAGCATGCAACAAGCACCACAACTTACGTTGGGGCAACAATTAAGCGCACAACAACACCAATTCCAACACCTGCAACAAAGCAGCAACGCTGGTGACAACAGTTGGCAGCAAATGAGCGGCAACATGTACCAACGTCAAACACATGAGCAGCATCACCAACGCCAGCAACATCACAATCATCATAAACACCAACACAACATGGGTGAACAAAGCGGTATGGGCACCAACAACAACCGTAATATGCACAACGGTCACCATAGCAACAACAAACACAATCAACGTCAACGTCAACGCAAACGACCAAGGCGCTATTGTTCGGCGCGCGATCCCTCACAGCTGGCGTTCGAGGCACCCATAGTCTTCGAGGGCAAAATCACGTCTATGTCACCGGACCGCCGACACAACTTTGCCGCCACAGTGCAAGTGCTGAACGCATATAAACAGCAGATTGGTTATCAGGTGAAACGTGAGCAATTCGTGCGGCTGCAGTTCGAGTATATCAACAGCAGCGGTGAATGCGACATCTATCGCGAGCAGTTGCGACCACGCGGTCTAGTGCGCGGGGACGAGCTGGAGCTGCAGCGCACCTATCTCTTCTTCGTGCAACAAATCGATATGCGCAACTTCACCATACTCGGCCAGCCGATCAGGAAGACGCGCCGCGTAATCGAAGCAGTGCAGGATGCAGTGAGCGAAAATTATGGTGAGTTGAAATTTTCAAATATTTCTATTAATTATTCAAGGGGCATTTAGAGGGATCGTAATATTTCTCAACTAAGTTAGAAAATTCTGGCTCACAAACAACATAAGATGTGTATTGCAAGAGGTCTCTCTTGGCATTCTATGTAAAAGTTACGGATGAAAACAGATGAATATTGCACGAATTTGCAGCGCGATTCTAAGAGGTTTACAAACTGCAAATTTCAATATTAAAATAAAAACAGTGCTATTTCGTATATGAACGTTTGACGATACTGTTGCTTATTATGTGGTGTAGCTCTTCATTTCCTCGTTGCGCTTACTCCATTCTTCGTTGTTGTCATTATTATTGTTGCTCTTTTTATTTCATTTTTTGTTGTCAACTTCACGCTCTGCTAATATCCACTAGACCGAAATAATTTATTCAACACACCCGTAAACGAGACACACACACATACATACATTCCACACACACGCACTCACAAACACAGCAATTATGTGTGGATAGGGAGGTAAATTGCATTATTTGGTTGTGTGTTGGCATGCCACACACATGCATATACAATTTACTGCCTTTTAAAAGTTTTGAGTTTTGAGTTGTGTGTGTATGTGTGGGTATAGGTGTACGCGTGCGCGTGCGCGTGTGGCCGCATGTGGAACGCATGAGAGGGCAACATTTCCTTCCTCAAATTAAACTCAACTGTGAAGACGATGAAAACTTCGCTACTTGCAACAAAACCAACAACAATGACACCAAAAGTTGTTAAATTTTAGGAAAACTGTTTGATTTTGCGAACTTTTTGCAACTCATGCAGCCATCTGCCACCACTACCGCCACAAAATGCATCACTGCTGCATCTGTGCTTCCGTTTATCACTGATACCATATTTGCGCTATTTTTGTTGTTATAATAAAAATAAATGCACAGCAATCGCATGTGAGATTCGGGGCGCGTCGTTGCCCCGCGCGTCGGGCCACACTTTCTCATGCGCCCAGTGCTGTCGTTGATTGCGGCTGTTTCTTTAGCTGCTCTTCATTATTGTTTCCTTCCTCAATTCTGTTGGCGAAAAGTAGTAAAGCAAAATAATAAAGCAACTGTAAAAGTTCCCGCTCGCATTGGTTTTGCTGGCAGCGTGCGCCGCATTGCATGCAGCTGACCGCGACGTTGTAAGCGTTGCGGTTCAGCGCGCGCACTCGCTCGTACGCTTTGCGTATTTGCTTTGCGCTTTTTTGTTTTAATCTGTTTTACTCTGTATTTGCTCAACTTTTGTTTTATGGCCAGCGCATTGGTTTATTTGTTTTGCCGTTGTGTTTTGTTTTTTGTCATTTAATTTTAATTTGCTTGCTCCTTTCATTTTATATTCGTTTTGCTACCGTATCTGCTACCATTTCGTTTCGATTGTTTTTACTTTAGTTAGTTTCTTTTTGTTTTTACATTTATGCATTCGCTAACGACGCGTTTTTAATTTCATTCATTAACAATATTCAGTATCAATAACAGTAACAACACCACACATTCATCGATTCGTCCGAACACACACGTTGGCATGTGTGTGTACGCATGTTTATATATACATACCTTAATGCAGAGTCATTTTCAACATTGCTTGACGTTAGGCCGTGTTTCTACTACTGGTTTTAGTGGGCGTCATTCCAAGCAAACGTTTAGAATTGCCTAGAATTCTAGAATTGTATCCGAATAACTGGTGGATTTTGTGCAGCTTTTTCGTAACAAAAACGCTCTACGAGCTCAAAACGATGACTGCTCTTTCTTAAATTCAATAAAAATATTGGAAACGAACCCAGTTTCCATCATTAGCGGAAGATCACGTCAGGATGAACTGTATTTGCTCGCAGCAAATTCATCACCATTCAATAACCGACATTGATGAAATTATATTCTGAGTGGGTAGATTAAACACTTGTTTTTCAGCTGCTCTCTTTAGAGTCGGATTTATGAAGCTCGGAATTTTTGATAGTATGGTACATATGTCAAAAACTTAAAAGTCTTTAATACCATATAGTTTCCTAATTCTGCACTGTTCGATTGCGAATGCTCGCCAATTGCCTTCTTTTGTATATATAAGCTGTTGCGACTTAATATTTGTTGTTTTAACATTTTATTCATGCCAACTTGCCTTTATAAGTCTTCTCATTGACACTCGCTTTATATAGTAGATATATATAATATAAACATACACACATACCTAAAGTATAATATATATTTACACACGTTGCTCCACAAATCAGCTGGAGTCAGCTGTTTTGCGCGATTTTATCAGTCCATTAACAAATAGCCAACTGCCACTGCAGTCCTAATGAACTTCTACACATATATGTAAGTACGTATGTATGTATGCATATACGTTTTTGTGTGTGGCTTTGTGATAACTCCCCTTATGCGCACACACTTTGCAAGCGCACATTTCATCGCTGTTAGCTTAGTAAGTTAAACCAGGTATATACGCGCACACACACATTTTCCACCGCAATTAAACTTAATATAAATACGTATTTACTTTAAGTTATTCTAGACAATGTAGTTAGTTTATTTTTGTCTAACTTTTTTACCCATATTTACATTTTTGCTGAGTTTGATTTATATTTCGTTACTGATTAGGTGTTGGCTACGAACGCTGTGCTCGTATGCTAGGTCTGCGAGTGCAAATGTTGAACTATCAAAATCTACAAAAATACATACTTATTATGTATGTAGTAAAGTAAGTGTATTGTAAGTTTTTACTCATCTGAAGCTTGAGAGTTTTTATCTATGCCGTTACCTCGAGTCATTTTTATACTCTTATACTTATTTTATATATACATATGTATATGTTATAAATGATCAAAATGACGAGACGAGTTGAAATACCGATGTCGGTCTGTCCGTCCGTCTATCTGTGCAAGCTGTTACTTAAATAAAAATTGAAATATCGCACGTGTTCCTTGGCAAAAACGTAAGGACGAGTTCGTAGATGAGCGTAATTGGACTACTGTCACGCCCACAAAAGGCCAGATTTAAATTGCATAACTTTTAAACCATTTCATTAATCACCACTACCGACACTAAACACGCCAGAGACATTAAGCTTTAAGCCAAAAGTGGACGATGGGCGTGGCACCGTCATTCTTTTGATATTCCTATGTTACATTAGATTCTTTCACTTTAGAGTAAGCAAATCAAGCACCAATGAATGTATCGGTACAAAACTTTGCACGACTAGTGCCCTTAAAGTATACCATCTAAGGATCAAAAATTGTCCAAATCGAACCGAAACTTTTCAAGCCCCTATGGACCGAACATGTGGACCCCAGTTGACTTTTATCCGAAAATATCGGTCAATGTGTGAGAGATATAATTTAAATTCAAAGACGATCCTTTTCTGAAAATAGTATGTCTGTATGAAAAATGGGTAGCCAGAACTTGACCTAATCCCTATATAACTAGTATCAAGATTTTTGAACATCCGGCAGACTTTACTCCATATGATTTGTGATGGTATGTGAGGTATCTTAATGAAACCCTGGGAGCATTTTATTAGTATGTGGTATTGACAAAAATTTATAAAATCGGGTTAATACTATCCCCAACTCCCATATACTATCTATAATGATTTTCGTTATTCTACCAAGTTTTATGCCGTATATGTCGGTCAGTGAGTATTATTTATATACAAAATTGCAAATTTTTTCTCGAGTATACCTCAGCAATGTCAATATTAATGAAATCAGCCCGTCCCTTTCTCTATCCCCAATATACCCCATAAAATGATTTCCGTCTTTCCACATTAGTTTAAGCCATTCAGATTAGTCAAAATGTGATATTTTAATGAAATTCAATAGACAAGTTTTCTTAAAAATTTTGTGGTTTAGCACTGAATTAGATTGGAATTGGTTTATACCTTGGTCTAAACCTCATATCCCTAATATAATTATTTGCGATCCTCTGGTTGACGTTTTCCACATAAACTTAATATATTATATTAAATTTAGCCTCTTCGGTCGAGTTAATAATTTTAGCTGACCCTAATTAAAATATAGCAATAAAACTTATTCAAAGTGTATGACCTTCAATATACGTCGTCTATTCACCAATATCATCGAATAATGGATGTTTAATTCTTTCGCAACATTTTGTAATATAAAGTTTTGCACCTGAAGAAATTTTCCGGTCTTTGATTCTTGCAAGTTTCAGGAGTATAAAATTTTCGGTTATACCCAAACTTAGCCTTTCCTTACCATTACGTCTCCATGACTTCAGCATAGATTCAACAGGTTAGAAATAAAGGTGTATATGGTATAAGAAATACCTTTATTAAGATTTATGCTTTTGGTATCTGGCATAAATACTACTAATTTTGGACCAGATATTATAATATTGCAAATATACTGGTAAAACTAGAGATATTATTGCATATATGGGAAAAAGATATTTCACTCAATTTTTAAAATTAGCTTAATATAGCCATTCGATACGGCTTAAAAGTTGTAAAGTCTTATTTCTTAGTTTTCATCGATTTTTTGGCTTTTAGTCTTGTGTTTATTTCGCACATGTAAAAAATCACAAAAAATGTATTAAAAATTTTTTAAATACATTTTATAATTTTTTTTAAATTTTTTTAGGCTAATTTTTTGTTTTAATTAATTTATGAGGGGCAAAGTTGAGCACAATAACCTGCAAATGAATATTAATTTAAACTTCAGCTGTCTGATTCCAAGTACACTTATACTTATATTGAATCGAGGGAACGAAAATGTCATTATTTTTTCGAATCTATTGCATAATAATTAGGCATTTTTCGCGCCTAATTAGCTGCGACTACCCCATCGTCAACAACGTTAGAGTACATGTTGAGCATTCGAGTTCGAGTTTGTGACGTTAATTGGCTGTGGTAATATTCGCGTAGAACTCATTAGTGATCTTATCTGTCTCTGCGTCGTATTCTACTCCGTCCTCCTTGTCGCCGTTTCACATTTTTGGTTTATCTCTGCAATCATCGTTTTGTT